GGGGGGGGTGCCCCATCATGACACTCCTTACTACAGTTAAACTGCCTAGTATCACAGTTGGCTCTTCACACTCCTATTTAGCATCATAACATAAATTCTGTGTGTATCTACGATCCCAGTCTGAATGCCCCATCTACCTTAAAAGGCCAGCTTCCTGTCTGTGCCCCCCCCCCACGCCCCCTTGCTGTTGGGCTGCCCTGTGACATTCCATTTTCATTCCACTCTTCTGTTTTTCCCTCCTAACTCTGCCCTGAAAATGGCTCTGCGATGTAGCGCTCATTGGGGACAGCGGAAGATGGCAGATTTCTTACAGCGCTGTCAGCCCGACAGCCTTCGGCCCGGCGCAATCTAACAGCGGCGTAGAAATACAGCGGTCTGGAAGATGAAAAAGCAAAAATGGAATTGTTGTTGATTATTTAGCAGGCAGCATAGTGACTTGGTGGGTAGCAGCACTGTCTCGCACTTCCAGGGTTCAAAATTGGTTTCCTTCTACAGTCCAAAAACATGCAGTTAGATGTTACCTTTAGTTTGCCCGTTGAGTGTGTGTGTGTGTGTGTGTGTGTGGATTAAGTTTATATTACATTGTGGGTTCCGAATGTCCCCTACAATATAATTAAAACCTGTTATTTTGATGTTGTGGGGACCATTTTTCAAAAACTGAAAATGCCAAAATCTCGTATTCGCCACGTTGGGATTAGAATTTTCCCCATACAAATGAATGGAGAGTCCCCACAAAGACATAATTACAAACCTATGTGTGTGTGTGTTTCTGTTTGTATGACTGGAGCGGCTTCCATTCCAGGCTGTACCCCTGCCTTCTGCCCAATTCCTAGGGGAGCTCCAGACGGTCCACATTTTTGCTCCCTCCCAGCTCCCTGCCAGACGGTCCACGTTTTTGCTCCCTCCCAGCTCCCTGCCAGACAACATGGACTCTCTGGGGGTCTCCAAGATCCCGGGTTGGGAAACACTGTCCTATACTGCCTCAGTTAGCCCCCCCCCCCCACACACACACACCACAAAGACAAATAGTGGAAAGATGGGTTAGTGTTTAGAACGTTTTTTTGCAGGATTCATGGTTTCATATAAATAAGCAATAAACTACAAAAGAAAAAAAAAGCGTATTCAAAGGAAGTCTAAAATCTAATGAATTCTCATTTTAGGAAAAACTTCCTAAAATCAATATAATGGAATATAAGCCAGAGGTAGGTAAGAATATAATGGAAACTGGAGGACAGCGAATATGGATGTCAGTGTTACAACATCGGGACACTAGAGCCCAAAATGGCTGTAAATGAGTTCTACAGGTATTTGCAAGGCAAAGGTCAGTCTTTACCGCTAACCTTTAAGTGACAGAAGCCCCCCCCCCCCACACACATACAGAAGCACACCTGGATCCTAGGTGTCCTGTCTGATTGGAAGAAAGAGCAATGTTCATGTCCCACCCACTGAGAAATGATTATAAAGAAAGCAAACCAGAAACAGGAAGCAGCTGAGATCCCAGGGAATATTCTGTTCTCAAAATGACCGTCAATCATATACGGCCCCAAAGTGGGCGGAGTTAGACATACCTGTCAATCATATACCGCCCCAAAGTGGGCGGAGCTAGGCATGTGACCGTCAATCATATACCGCCCCAAAGTGTGCGGAGTTAGACATGTGACTGTCGATGCTACTCAGCCTCTAAAGGTTTTTGTCCAATCCGATGCATAAGGGACCCCCCCCCCGACCTCGGGTTATGCGGCCCACACGCTAACAGGATTTACGGCCTACAGCCTTTGCTTGGGGGTTTCATGTTATGCAGGCTGCACACAATTTGTCCCCGCCCCCCCATGCCGACACTCACAAGGGCACCAACATGTACACATACATGGCCAGATACAGACACGCAAACACACACGCATATTTATATAAACACACGCAGAGCAAATGGCCACGGATATACCTGTATAATGAAATGGACATAGAGAAACACAAATATAAACACTAATTCATGCACTTTAAAATATAGGCCAAAATGACCGTTAAAGCGTTTAAAGGAGGCAGCCAGAGGCTTCCCCTTTTCAGTACTGGCTAACGCGTTTGCATAAGGGGCGTGGCTTCTGTGTTTGCGTGAGGGGAGTGGCTTCTGTGTTCGCGTAGGGGGCGTGGCTTCCGCAGCTGCGCATCACTCATCTGCGCCTGTCTACAGACATATGGCCTGGCAGACCGCTCTGAATATCATCATTAGCGATGCAAGCATCACAAGCCTCCTCCCAGACACGTCCTCGTCTGGGCTTCCCCTGCTGTCCCCAGCCAGACAGCTCACCCCCATGCCTCTAAATCCGCCCCCCCACCCCACAGCCAACCTCCCCCTCGCTTAATATGACAACCACATGGAGCCAGCCCACCCCCCCCCAGCGCCAACGACGGACAGACAGCTTTGTGACTGTCGTGAGAATCATCTTGCCTACAGAAGGCTGGGCTGTGGCTCACGCCTCAATTAAAAACACAGTCAGCCATCCCAGACAGACGTGTTAAAAAAAAAAGGGGGGGGGGGAGCTGAGATTCTTCCTCCTCGGCCCCCCCCCCCCCCACCCCCACCCCACCTACCCGACTGTCAGACTCACGTGCATCACATAGCCTTCCATGGCAGGGAGCTGCTTTCCTTTCATGGGGATGTCACACTTTGAGTAGGTCTGGCGCCCAACATGACAAGGCACTGCCCAGGTGCCCAAAAGCCCAGTGCAGGAGCGCCGACACCATCAGCTACCGGACCCACTTCCATTAACATTCAGGCCCGGAGCTGTGTGTCCAATGTCAGCTGGACAGAACGCTTTCCGCGACATTGTCACGGTGCTCCGCGCCGCCCAGTGCCGCTCCTTTTGTCGTTCCACCCTCTGTCTGGCCGCCGCTGGCTGGCGGATGCTTTTAGCAGCCCTATCGGCACGCATCAGCAGCAAATCATCACCCCCTGGCAAAAGCTGGGGCCGAGGCAAATAGCACATCAGGTGACAGCAGGTGTGTGGGATAACCGGTCAGTGTAATGACAAACGGGGACCTTTTCAGGTTCCACATTCAGCTTCTGTCACACTGTCTCCACTGGCCGAAAATGGTCCCAGCTGACAATTCCGGAATCCCTGCGTTCCGTGGCTCCCCACAGTCAATACGACCGATGGGGGAGTGTTTACAAGCGCCGTGCACGGTGATATTCCCCATCAGAACTGTCGCGCAAGCGCCGCAGGAATATCGGCGCTGGAAAAACATATTAAAAAAGGCGGCAGAGTTTGCTTGACATGAAGGTATTATGAAAACGCGGCCTGGTGGCCTTAACTGAAACGTCAGCTCTTATAGGGAAGCCGAAACGAAGGGCTTCTTTTCAGGATGTGATTTATTCTCAAACACTGACTCGCCAAGACGGATAGGGTTGGGGGTAGGTGGCGGGGACGGGGGGAAGGAGGGGGGGTTCAGATATTGTATCCCCATCTGGGGCGACGGCGGACCACGCAGATCCGCTAGCTGATGCTAATGCTCACCCGCCATTCCCAGCCACACCACTCCACATTCACAGAGGTCTTACCCGATGACACGCAGCACAAAAGCTTGCTTAAAGTTGGGGAGGGGGGCATGTTTTGTAGCCCGGCAACCCCAGGGCGCGAAGTGAGGCCCATGCTAATGAGGTCATCATGTCGCGAGTGTGTCCGCCATCGTCCAAAAGAGGGATTTGCATACAGGAGGCCACAGAAATCAGCAAGCAGTTAAATCCACCCCCCCCCCCCCCCCCCAGACCTGATTCGTGCGTGACGGGGGCTCTGGCCATGCTCAGCTCTCTGCTACTCTTTAAGTTAGTGTTTCCCAATCCGGTCCTAAGGGATCCACAGATGGTCCACGTTTTTGCTTCCTCCCAGCTCCCTGCCAGACATCCCATGTTTTTCCTACCGGGAGCAAAAATGTGGACTGTCTGTGGGTTCCCGTGCACCGCATTGGGAAACACTGGTTTAAGTCGACGTGGCTAGACTCCTCAGGCTGCAAAAGTCTTACGCATGTGGCTGCATGTTTGCTGACAGTGTGTGTGATTTGCAGCACAGTGGTGTGTCAGATCTGATGAGCTCTAAATGATGCAAAACAGAATAAATCTACTCTCGGCTTCACATAATCGCCAGTCACACCGGCGCCACCACAGCTCAGCCCACGATACTGAAAGCGGATGGCTGCCATTCTGTCAGCTACGGTGTCAGTCAGGGACACTGTGCCACTTCGAGGGACA